TGTTGGTTGCTCTGCTGTTACGATGTTATTGCACTGCAGTTGGGAGTAGACCTTGGGTGATTCTTTGGAGAACAACAGGATGTTGATCTTCTTGGCCTCTGCTTCTCTAGTATATCTTCTTAGCACATTTAAGTGCCGTGAGCCTTGTGCAACTGTCTTGAGAGCTTCAGATGGAATCAGGGCCTTGTATTTTTGTCAGTATCCTTATCCCTAATCTTCATATCCTTACGTAATTCCTCTTTCTGACCAACCTCTGAGTTGCCTTGATCTTAGTCTCTAACCTCACTTTTTTGGGGGGGATATTTATTGTTCTTCTTGACTATATAGCCAAGCATCTCCAGGATTATAGCAGCCATTGCATTTACCACTTCATTGGTTTGAATTATTGCGGTAGTAACAATTGTTGTGTGGGCTCTTTTGGCATCTTCTAGCATACCATCTGATGGTACTTCTCTGCTGAGCCTTGGCAACCAGATTTGAGGGTTAATTGCAGCTAGTTCATCCAAGATCTTATGCCTCATAGCAGCAGCTGTGCTCTGTAATGGAGAGGGTGGTAGTGACATTCCAGCTTCAGGGGTTGACTGCACATCCAGTTGTTCTTCCTGTTCTTCTTGAGTCTGGAATGTAATGTGTAGTTGGTCTATTTCCAGTTGTGATAGCAGCTTCCTCTTCACTACGTTGAAGTGTAGGATAACTAGCTGTTTCTCGGTTAATATGGATACAGGTCTTCCCTCTATCCATAGTTCTCTCACATGGATATCCCCTATATATCCATATATCTCATTAGTTCTGCTGTTGTAGTAGCTTTCCGTCCAGCTTCTCTTGTCTCATCTGTGTTCCCACTTATCATAAGATTATCCTGGTTCCTCAACATTTGATGTGGATCTTGTTAATCCAGCATGACTCTCCTATTTTAGCTCACTACCACATTTTAAGGTGGGTAGGTGAAACGTTAAGGGGTCTTTGCTGGTAAGGTAGGAAGCAGCCAGGATTTGAACCCCAGTTTTTCAAAGGCAGTACTTTAACCACTACACCATCCAGCCCTGGGAAGGAGGAAATAGCAAGCCACTTCTGAAAAACCTTGTCTAGAAAACTGCAGAGATGGAACAATTCTGCTCCCAGAGACTTCCTGCTCCAATTTCCCCTCTTAGAATTTTTGCAAAATGCCAACATTGGGCTGAAAACAATCCCTAAACTGATTTCAAGCAATGAGGGAGGAGGAATTAAACAAGTTTAATTTCAACACACATATACTGCCAAAAACAAGCAAAGACAAGACCCAACTATTTCAGAAATCCCACATAAATTATTTTTCTGCTCAAAAGAATGCAAAAGGCCAAAAAACCCTGCCAAACAGAACCCATACAACATCAGAATTTGCCCATTGCCTCTATTCTCCAGTTAAGAAAGAACCTTTTCATATCACAGGTCCAACTACCCCCTATTCTAAGAGTCTTTGGCTTTTACAAATCTGTCCCGCCTGCTTTCAACTTAGACCTATTAAAGCTTCTGCGTTTTGTTCGGATTCTACTGCCAGAATCACAGCTGCATAGACTTGACTCTTCCTTTCCAGCATCAAGAACATAAAACAATTAAAATTGAGGTTGGCCTTTCTGCAACACCCCCAGGCACAGGCGTTCCTCTCTACATCTCTGGGCCTCTCCGATGGGAATCCAAAGAGCAGAGATGCCCATGTCTCACACTGTAGGACACACACACACATTGTAACCACACACATTGTAGCTTATTTGCCAACTGACGGATTCCTGGAATGACTGACAACATTCTGTCCAGGAGACACAAGGACCTCCCGTGATCCAAAAGGCTAGCAGCACTGCGTGTGCCAAGCAGGCACGCCCTATGATGCCAACTGTCCAAAGGCTGAGGGGCTTGCTTGGGACCAGGAAAAAAAGCTTTCTACCCTTCCATCTTGTTTTGGGCCAGCAGAGATCAAGCTGAAAATAGACAGCTGTCAATCAGCTAATGTCAGCAAGCACACCAAATCCCTCATCCCAAGTGTGTCTGCTACTATTCAGTCCTGGAAGAAATTGAGCCTTGGCCTTCTTATCTTCAAAAGGACCATCGGATAATGCTGGCAGTTCCCCCTCTTCTCTACTTGGCTCTTGTTTTCCAGGATGTCCCAATCACTTCTTCCCCTCCAATCATTTCCACAGAATTTTGTCTCTCCTAGAAGCCCTGCGGGCTCCCCTGAGCAGCCAAAGGCTCCCATCTCCCCTCTACGGTCCCCAACCCAGGAAATACCACTTGACCCTGACAGATCACGGCACCCATCCCTAAATGCATTTGCTAGGTCTCCTTTGCAGCCCAGAAGGGATGCAAAATGGCTGCATCAACTTTTCTGAACAAAACCAAGTCCGCACCCATCACAGGGGGCCAGAAAATCTCAACCTTTTGACCAACATTTAAAAATCCATAAAGAAGTGACTTTCTCAAAAACCTCAACAAAAGGGGCGTTGGTCTTACCTGAACGCCGTTTCTCAGCATGATGATGGATAATCCACATGATTGGGTTTCCTGAAGTCCCTTGTACCCAATAAGACTAAGTCTGAGATAGCCACGCCTCTTGCCTGGTCACACATGCCCAGTTCCGACGGAGGCGAAGCAACAGACAAAGTCAGGCGTGTTTGTCTCCAGACTCCTGTCACCGTGCCCATAAACCCATGAAAAGAAAAAAGGGGCGGGGGTGGATTATCCATCATCATGCTGAGAAACGGCGTTCAGGTAAGACCAACGCCCCTTCTCCAGCATGAGGGATGGATAATCCACATGATTGGGACATACCAAAGCTCGCCTGTCCCTAGGGAGGGTTAACAGACGGGGCACGTGATGCAGGAGATGATACTACCCTCTGTAATACTCGACGGCCAAAGGCAGCGTCAGCAGAAGCAAAACTATCAATCTTCTAATGACGGATAAATGGCGAAGGGGACGACCAGGTCGCCGCCCGACAGATGTCACCGATAGGCGCCTGAGTAGCCCAGGCAGTAGAAGTGGCCGCGCTACGAGTAGAGTGAGCTGTGATACGTGACGGCACGGCCAATGATTGTGATTGATATGCTCTAGCAATACAAGCCTTTATCCATCTGGCAATGGTGGTAGAAGAGATCTTGAGACCCATTGAGGTCGGAGCGAATGACAAGAAGAGGGCCTCAGACCTACAGAAAGAAGATGTCCTCTTAATATAAATGCGAAGTGCCCTGCGAACATCCAAAGTGTGCCATTTGCGGTCCAAGTCACTAGATGGACGAGGACAAAAACTTGGTAACACCACTTCCTGTGACCGGTGAANGCGAAATAAGCAAAGATCCTCCCTCACCGAAAGAGCAGCCAATTCGGAAATGCGCCTGGCAGAGGTCACTGCCACCAGAAAAGCCACTTTCATGGATAAGAGATTGAGATCACATGAGCGAAGAGGTTCAAAAGGTGACCCGGTAAGGGCCTGTAAAACCTTTGACAAATCCCAGGAAGGATACCGATGAACCGTTGGGGGCTTGATATTAACTGCTCCCTTAAGGAAAGAACGGATCATCGGATGGTACGCAAGGGAGGAAGCGTCGTCACAGGAAAGAACCGTAGCCAAGGCCGCCACCTGTCTCCTGAGAGTACTAGGAGACAGCCCTTTATCCATTCCATCAAGCAAAAACTGTAGAACCTGAGGAACAGTGAGAGAAGACAACTGAACATGATGACTAGACAACCAAGATGTAAACCTCCTCCAAGTAGAGTCGTAAACTCTATTTGTTGAGGGTCGCCTAGAAGCCTGGATGATATCAATGACCCTTGGAGGATAATCCTCCTCAGTCAAACGTCTCCGCTCAAACGCTATACGGTTAATTGTAACCATTGAGGATCGGGATGGCGAAGCGCCCCCTGAGTGAGTACTATCCGGTCTGGGGGTATCTGCCACGGAGCGGATACTGATAGGCTCATGAGGTCGGCGAACCAAGGGCGCCTCGGCCAATGAGGGGCTATGAGAACCACCTCCGCCCTCTCTCGCAGAATCTTGCAGATGACAGCCGGAAGTATGGGAAGCGGAGGGAAAGCATAAAGAAGACCCCGGAGCCACGGGATGCGCAGGGCGTCCACCCCTCCGCCCTTGGAGACTGAAAACAGGAGAAAAACCTTGGAAGTTGGGAGTTGTTCGCCAAGGCGAACAAGTCTAGGACTGGGTGTCCTACCCTGCGAGATATGTCTGAGAACAGGTCTGGATTCAGTCGCCACTCTGAATGATCCACCGTCGCTCTGCTGAGAGCGTCTGCCTGCTGGTTGACCTCCCCCGAGATGTGATTCGCCTTTATCGATGACAGGTTGGCCTCTGCCCAAGAGCAGAGCAGTCTGGCCTCTGCCATCAGAGAGCTCGATCTGGTGCCCCCCTGACGGTTCACATGTGCTTTGGCCGCAATGTTGTCCGTGAGGACAAGAACGTGCTGGCCTCTCACCTCGTGTCTGAAGTGACACAATGCCAGATGAATTGCCCGCAGTTCCAGCCAATTTATATTGTGTGATAGATCCTCTTTGGACCATCTCCCCTGGGCAATTTGAGACTGGAGGTGAGCCCCCCAGCCGAAAAGGCTGGCATCCGTGGTAAGCACTATCCTTGACTGTTCCCTGAATTTCGAGCCCTTGTTGATGGCTCGAGAACGCCACCAGTGGAGTGATTGTGCTACTAGAGGAGTCAACCGCACCAATATGTTGGAGGATGATAACTTCCTTCTCTGAAAGGGAAGGAGGAACCATTGCAGGGCTCGTGAATGAAGTCTGGACCAGGGTACGATGGCAATGCAAGAGATCATCTTGCCTAAGAGCTGGGAAAGGGTGAGGAGTGAGACTGACCTGGTGCGTTGTACCAGTTGGACAAGAGCCCTGAGACTGGCTATGCGGTCCGGTGAAAGATAGACCATGCATTGGGTCGTATCTATTACTGCTCCAAGATGAAGAAGCCGTGTGGATGGAACCAGTTGACTTTTGGGGAAATTCACCAAGAATCCATGATCCTGGAGTACCTCTATTGTGCGGGCCACCTCTGACTGCGCCGCCTGGACCGACCCTGATTGTATGAGGATGTCGTCCAGATAACACTGGATCCGTATGGACTCCAGTCTGAGGTGAGCTGCCAGGACCGATAGAATCTTTGTGAATACCCTCGGGGCAGATGAAAGGCCAAACGGAAGTGCCCTGTATTGATAATGATAAGATCCGTAACAGAATCTGAGAAATCTGCGATGTGGTTGAAAAATTGGAATGTGAAGATACGCCTCCTTGAGGTCGATGGACGTGAGGAGGTCGTTCTTCCGTATGCTGGCCAGAATGGAATGCAGTGTTTGCATTTTGAATTTTTTGTATATCAGATAAGAGTTTAATCGCTTTAGGTCCAGAATGGCCCTCCATCCTCCCGAGGCCTTTGGAACTATGAAGAGGATTGAATAAAAACCTCGTCCCCATTGATCGGGAGGGACCGGTTCTATTGCTCTTTTTGTGAGAAGATGGGTAATGGCCTCCTTCATAAGGACCCGTTTTGACGGGTTTGAAGGCGGTGGGCAAGAGATGAAACGGTTTGCCGGTTTTGTGAAGAACTCTAAAGTCAGACCCTGGGTAACGGTGGACAAGACCCAGGCGTCTGTGGTGGTGTTCCCCCCAACTCCGAGAGAACAGGGCGAGGCGACCGCCTATGGGGGGTCCCTCCCCGGAGTCACTTATTCCTCCGATAGGGACGGCCCCCCGCCCCTTGAAAGGGCCGCCTAGATTGCTGTTGTTGCCTAGGCTTGTTTCCAAAACGTTCCGCCTGCCGGTCCGATTTCGGGGCAAAGGAATGTGCTGGTTGAGACCAAGTGGAGCCCTGGGTATTGCCTCTGAATCCCTGACGGTGATAAAAAGGGGTAGGCTTTCTATCTGCCCGCCTGCCTTGGTGGGCCAAAACCTTTTTCTTGTCCTTATTCTCTACCAAGTATGGCTCCAGGGCTTCTCCAAACAATTTTCCACCAGCGTAAGGAGCGGTGGACAAACGACCCTTAGATTTCAGATCCGCCTTCCATTGCTTAAGCCAAAGTAGGCGCCTGGCAGATATATTAGCTGCTATTGCTCTGGCTGAAAAACGGGCGGCATGTAGCGTAGCATCTGCTGTGTACTCAACAGCCACTAACAATTTACCCAATGTTTGATGGGCACGAACTAATCCTGAAGCTCCTGGAGCCAAGTGATAGAGGAACGAGAGAAGAAAGAGGCCGATGTGGACGCCTTTACCGCCCACCCTGATGCCTGATGTGCTCTCCTCAGGGAGTACTCCGATTTCCTGTCCTCTGGCTTTAGAGCCTCCGCCATATCCCCAGCGATAGTGGTGTTGGAAAAGATAGGTGTGAGGGATGTGTCAACAGAAGGAACCTCCAAGAGGTTGGTTAAGGATGGTGCCACGCTGAATAGTTTCTTGTCGGAGGACCCAGGTGCCGGGGAAAGACCTAGATTGGTCCACTGCTTTTTTACCGTATTGGTAAAAAATGGGGGTACAGGGAATGTGTTTTTGAGTTATCGTGGGTTCAGCGAACAAAGGATTTGCAGTTTGACTGGTGGAAGGGACAGGTTCTGGATCAGGCTCTGGCGCTATCTGGGATGTAGCCGTGGCCTTGTTTAGAATAGTCTTGAACAGGGCGGGATCAAAGAGCCCCACAAAAGGAGATGACTCTTGAGGATCCCCTTCATCCTCT